ACTTAGGATGCGCGCCAAATCTATCCATACTTCTAGTGACATTGACAGCTGTCAGCTAGGGACGTGCCGTTTATGCCGATAATCTAGAGTTCCGCCAATTCTATAGCACGGTACTAATTTTATTCCTAACAATATGAAGCTTGTTTACTCCTACAATTCTATTAAGATGATTCACTGTCTAACAATTTCCATACATTGACCGCATCAACGAGTTGCACCTTTATTAGTAGTCAGGATTTGTGCTTGTATCTTATAACTAGCTGTTCCCCTGCGACTTCATCCGTATAAAATTATGAAAATTTTATTTCGTAGTTTATATGTGTCAAATTATCAATTGCATATGTCAAAATGACATGACAATGACAAACCAGTGCAACCTTGATTCCCTGATGTTGGCAGCAACTTATGGTCTCTTTCCCACATTAGGATTTTTATCCAAAATATTTCCCCCTGGGTTTAATGGCGTAAAAATATATAGCCTAAAGCGTGACGTAAGTGTAGGGCTTTTTATTAAAAAAAAGAATTATTCAAAAACATGCTGTAGTTGCTGACATCTTAGGCAACAAAGAAGTGTGTGTTTACGCTTTATTATAATAGTATAGATTACGTATTCCTAACGAATATTGCCCACGTGTCTTGAAGTCACGTGCCACGCCTTATAATTTGCAGTAGTTTATTGCAATAAGTCACGAGAGGATTGTTAGTTTCCAAAAGCCTTTATATTTATTAGTCCCACCACTGGTTGGAGGCTCGCTTAAAAGTGACATCACTGTCAGATAAGGTAACAAAATCCGATATTTCCATTACATATTTTACATGTTAGATTGTTATAAGACAATTCGGTGGAACAGGCCTTGAGTATATCATCGATACATAGGGGTATATGATACTAATGCCTAGTTCACACTAGGTAGCTTTATTTATTTACAAAAATGTTGTTACTAATCAGACTTCTCATTTTAGTAGTGTAGTACACGTAGACACTAATTACCTCTGTACTATACTGCAACAGTAGTAATGTATTTTCGGTAGTAAAGTGTACTTTGGCTACTAGATTATTAGTCTGTACTTGGCCTAACCCTGTCAAAATGGGCTACGGATTCGAAGATGAGACAGCCCTATTCTCAAATGGTCAAATCACGTGACCCGTCAGTCAACAATGACGGGACTGGTGTGCGGCTTATTTTTAGCACGACTGGTCTAACAGCTTGCATATAGCCCGAGAGAAAACCACACGACCGGTTCGCAGATTAACTTTAATGCAGTTCTAAGAAATCGTATATAAGAGCGATGTACCGGATGCCCGTAATCGTCGCTTACGTTAAATACATTTTAATTATACCCTAAAGAGGGTTATTGCTCGATTTTGGTTGATTTTTGTATAAGAGACTAAGAACGAATATTTTTTTTTCGTATTTACAATACTTCCAATGTTACTTTTTTATAACTTACTAAGTTATGCTTTGCCACAATTAATGTAACTAAATATACATTTACATATTCAAGAATAAGGCCAAATGGCATATGGCTAATACCTTGCTATTGAATTTCGTGATTATAATGAGAAAATGATAAAATTGTATACTAGTCATTAGATTGATGCCACTGCCCCCTTACCTGCCGACTTACATACATTTAAGTATAAAAGTTTATTTCATACAATATCGTATTTCTTTTACACCTGCCGTCAAATTGACCACCTTTCCTTAAACAAGGTTAAATGCACACTAGCAGATGTTTACTTACAAGCAATTGCAAGTATTGATTAAGACCGATACACACGTTCAGTTGTAACTGTACAGAGTTAAAACTGAATGTGGGGAGTAGGCGTTATTCTGTGTAGTGGAAACTGACCTTAAAATGCATTCTTGTTTTCTTCCGTTGAACACAACTTGCAATCTAGAATCGAATGGAAACGTTCTCAGTGATAACCTTACCGTACGTATTACGTATGGAACCGGATTGTCATTGCGTCATTACAACTGGCGTTGTAAAAATTAAATTAATTATTACAATATTTTTACAATTAATATGCTTTGTATTGAAGTCTTTAGCAATGAATTTTCCGATGAGCAAAGTAATGGAATAAATCTCGATTTTGTTCCGTTTTTATCTTTCCTATTTTCTAAGATTCCTTTTACCTCTTTTATTTCTTTTCTTTCCAACTATGAAGTACTGTCCTGACCTGACATCCAATCGACTCGGTGCCCGTATTAAAATTAAATAATAATTACAATAAAGTCATTTAATCTCTTCAGAAGACAAACATCATACATTTAATTACACAGTTGACATAAATAATAATGGAGAAAAAAACATGTTACAAGCAAAAAAAAAATACATACACATTATTAAACATAAAAGTTATGATTTTTTTTTAACTAAGTTTGCTAAGCTGAATGGATAAAGCCTTTACTCAGCTATGTGCTTATTACAGTGTACCAATTAGCCGTGATATTCTGTAAAAGCCTTTTGTGGCAGAAAAACGCTTTTGTAATAGAAAATGTTACCTTAAAAATTACACCTTTTCAAGACATATTAAAATAACTAAGTATTACTCAGCAAGTAGAACGCAGT